TCCCTCAGATGTCGGAGTAGCTAATAGTTTATGGTAGGGCATTCTTCAGGACAAAATTGCCCAGGTATCTAATAGGACAGTATAGGGTATTCGTCAGGACCAAACAAGGTAAGAGATATAAAACGTTGAGGACGTAAGCACTCTTAATGTACACTTATTATCTTGGTACAGGTAATACTGCAAACAGCTTAAGAAAATTGAATTACTTTTATTAAAAACCGAACAGCTTTTACTTACTTATGAGAATTATGCATTAAAGCCTGTTGCAAAATAAAAGGAAATTACTTTCTATCGAGCCATATTAAAATACTTTCAATACAGCCTACACCTTCATTTGTGAGAATCTATTGAATGTTCTCATACACACAGCTTGCAAGAGATGTAATTTATCATTGTCTTTTTAATGACAAAGGCAAGTTTTTCTCCCATGGAAAGAACAAATGCTGACTTTTTTCTGAGCTATTGATCTGAAATCTGTAGTCTCTCTTTCTCTCTCCCCACAGACACATATACACACAACACACTGTACATGAAAATGTCTCACCGTAAGTTAGGAAACTTTCTTTCCCGTTATCGATATTCTGACAGAATTCATTAAATATGTAAATACAACCAATATGTACATTTATTTATTTTTAACAAAAGGATTAAAACCCACAGTTACTACTTTCAACTGATATCAAGGTAAAAGCAGAAATCCTCACATGATTTTTAAATGTCAAATAATGTGTTTCAATTTCGGAAAAGCAGAATAAGCAGAGTTTCTTATAGAAACATCAATAATACCCCAACATGCTCTGCTACCATTTTGAATTCTGTAAGCGTCCCTAAAATGTTTGGCAGCTCTATTCTTATATTTTACTATTCAAAGCTCCAATTATCATTCCCCTGTGTCTTATTATTTTCATGTATTTATTTTTGCCAACAGTATTACTGGTGGAGAAATGACCAGGCGCTATGATAGTCTGACATAGTACTTAATAACAAAGTCATGATTTTGTGTTAAGCTACAGTAATCCTGCGTAGCCTTTAATGCATATATACCTGACGTATCCTGAATGATCTTTACTCAAATGCAAGAAAAAAAAAAGCTGTAAATTAGAGTTTTATCCACGCTGAAATATGAGAGGAAGCTGGATAGCCCTGCTGAGAGATTGACCCAGCAGAAGGCTGGCTTTTGAAACTGGAATGCTGTTTTCCAGTCTCAGCACCACTGGGATCTGTGAAGAAAAAATGCTGTGGAGCGATGGGGTGTGAGCTGCAGCGTGCGGAAGAGCATCTCTGTCCTGCATCTACTGGTTGCCAGGAATAACCTGCCTCAAACAGCCATTGCTTAATGTGTCACCAGGTTTTGGCATGTGTCACCTCGAGCTGCAGTCCACTGTGGCTGAGATTCTTTGAGCTGAAACACTGTCCTTCTGTGTCATCAGACCAGAGCTCTTGTTTTGCTAATGTAAAACAAGAAAGCCAATTGTCTGGAATTACACTCACAGGAGGCCTGTCGTAACCTACAATTCTGTTCCATTCATATTCACAGGGGAATGTCCCATTTAGTCACCTCAGACTTCTTACTGCTGCTCTTCCTCTCTTTCCATCAAAACTACCGAAAACTTCTCCTTCTCCCAACAAACACCAAAGATGTCCTCTTCTCTTACTTCAGTTCTATTCTTTTAAAACTAAAAGAGGAGGAATATAGATTCTCAATTTATAGTTGACAAAAACAAATGGGCAATAAATATATACCTTCCAGAGTGACTGCAGTAGAGGGGTGTTTTACATTCATAGAATCGATTCTGATCTGCATAATTGATTTGAGGAGCAGTTAAACACTCTTTTGCATCACACACCTGCATACTGATAATGACCCCCAAAACGTGACAGTTATAGTGAACACACAGATACACAGACACACACACGTGTCCCCATGTTTACATAATGTAAGTTCATGTATACAAAGACACACACACAACCACTAAGCTTTACTGTATTAAAGCTTTCTGGTTGTTGCTTGTCTAATTGGGCACAGTCACCCCACCCCAACACTGCATGGGTTGCAAGTCTTTTAATTTCTACACCCCTTAATACTTGACTTAACAACCAGATTGGCTGGTGTTAGCACTTAAGCTAATCAATAGACATGCAAGAACCTGTCTTCCTTAAGATTCAGCTAGAGACTTTAAGGTACAAAGGAAGAAAAAGTGAGCTTTACATGAAAATGAGGTAATCTTCAGAAACAAAGTGCAGGGCTGGGACTGTAGCTCAGTTGGTAGAGTGCACCCAGCAAAATCCCAAAGAACAAACAAACAAACTTCAAGGCTACCGTGTGTAAATTCGTGTGAAAGTCACTCAAGATCAAGCTATGCTCCGGCAGAAAGAACTTTGTTACATTTCAGGTTGAATCCAGATAATTTTTGAATCGATTTAAATTAAATTACCGCCAAAAAAAAAAAAAAAAAAAAAAAAGAAACAGAGAGAGAGAGAGAGACAATGACCCTGTGTGCTTTTAAATTACCAAGTTATGTAAAAATACTAAATATGAACTTTCCTCTGATTAAAGCAAAGGTGACAATAACTTCATAATTCAAAAAAGTAAAGCATGTCGAAGCTTTGGCAGAGTAAATTAAGCATGCATGGCTATCAAAGCAAACATTATTCTTATATTATCCTTTTACTTTTTTTTTTAATATTAAAAGCAATATATGTAGGGCTGGAAGACAGGTAAGTCTGTGACATTCTTGGTGAGCAAGCTTGAGGATCTGAGTTGGATTCCCCCAATCCCACATACACAGGCTGAGTGTGCTGGTAAACGCTTGTCCTCCCGGCACCCCATGGGGGCGTAGAAACAGGTTGAATACTGGAGCTTGCTGGGCAGTGAACCTAGTCTCATCAATAACCCCCAGGCCAGTGAGATCCTGGAGACAGAGCGTCTCCCGAGTGTCCTCTGGCTTCCCTGTGCATGCAAACACCCATACATACGCGCGTCCTCTCCCGTGATTCCGCACACACAGTGACCGGTCTGTGTGATACATTCAAGATAAATAAAGGGAGCCTTGTCTCTGTCTTAACAGAGCCCAAGATCCACACAGGTATATGCACGTGTGCCTATGCTTGTGTAATTATAACACTTGAGAGCAAAATGGAATCTTTGGAAGGTTTGGTAAACACCCAGACTTTGACCTTTGGCAGTTTTATCATGGATGTTTCCTTCTCATCTTGAGTCTATCCCACAGGTATAAACAATCCTTGCAGTTTTACAGTTTCCCTTATTTTCTTAAAACAATTGGAATGGAAAAACCATGTACACTTTTAAACAACATATTATTTAGCTTTGCATTCTAAAACTTCCCTAAAAATGCAGTTTCTCTGAACTAGCCTTCTTGTATTGCTGTAGTTGCTTTCCATTACGGTATATTATTTCATTGTGAGCCATGCTGTCACTTGTCAGGTTTTGGGAAATTAATGTGGGTTGTGGATGGCCCTTTGCTCTTACTAGTGATGCATTCTTGCCACTGCAACCCAGTCAGTAGCATCCAGCTTTGTTTGTTTGATGGCAAATGAAAACTACTGGCATTTGTATATCACTCTTGCTCTAGTCAGACAGCTTCTGGAGACCGTTGTTCCTCATGGATAAGCCAGTCTCAGAAGAACCTGCCTCTTAACGGGACGAGCGGAGTTTGCAACATGCTGATGTTTAAATGTACGCGCTCACGGCTGGTTGTTTTTATAAGTAGTCGCTCACGCCTTTGCCGTTTTCTCCTAAGTACCATGGCGGGACCCCTCACAACCCAAGTGCTCCTGATCCCATGGCCTTTTTGGAGCCCGTACAGGATGTCCATCCATTCACTGCTCATAAAGTAGCATCTAATACAAACTGTTTATGCAGTTTGTATTAGTAGCTCTAATGATTACGAAGTCTGAGCATCAGTTCCCATTGGCCTCTCTTCTGCGAGGTCTCTGGCCAGCCTCAAGCCACTTTTACAGTGAGTTTTCTAACTAAATGGAAGGTGTTTTGTTTTGTATTGTTGCAAATGTTTTCTATTCAGGCTACTGATCATATTCTGGTTTACACTGCTTTTATATCATTATTTCATATATTATTATTATTCCTTTATACATACTTTTATATCATTTCTTTATAGGTATCATTCTTTGTACTTACATATTTCTTTCATCTTTAAATATTTCTTTCATATGTTCTAGAAAAATCCTAAACCTTTCAACAAACTTTTTGTGCTTATAGATGCGTCGATGTCTCATTTGTTTCTTGTATATGAACTTTTGTGATTTTTTTTCCCTCCTGTATAGTATCTTTCTTTGTGTTTTGTGGAAGGAACTAGTGAATGAACTCAGAGCCTTGCACACGCGAGGTAAGCACTCAGTGAATTACATGCCCAGCTTTCTCAATAACTTGAGACAGGTCTTACCGACTTTACTAGTTTTCCTGGAGTTCACTTCCTAGCCCAGCTGGGCTTTGACCTTGAGATCTTTATGCAGCAGCCTCCCAGGATGACAGGTGTGTGTGTACCACTGAGCCGACGAAGGTTCTTAATTTTAGCATAGTTAAATTTATACATCTTTCTGCTTGTGATAAAAAAATTTCTTTTTAAGAGAAACCTTTTGATCTTAACATATTTTAATGTATAATTTCTATACTACCTTCTTTCTCTGTTTCTTCAATCTCCCATCTATTTGTTGTATTCATGTGGCATACTGCATTCATGAGAGGCATATTTCTAGAGAATCTAGGTCTATTTATCTACTTATTTTGAGACAGATTTTCCTGCAGCTCAGGATGGTTTTGAACTCACTGTGGAGCTGAGGGTGACCTTGAACTCCTGATAGTCCTGCACCTTTCTGCTGAGTGCTAGGATTACAGGCACGTGCCACCATGCATGGCTTAGATCCTAGTTTTGATGTGGTGTTTATTTGTTGTGTCTATTGATTTGAAGAGAACTGTCAGCTCTGTGCTCACTGGAATGTGGCATTTTTCCTCCTGGCAGATGACTGTGATGAGCCCCTGGTGTCTGCCTTGCCTCCGGCATCCTTCAGCAGTTCTTCAGAGCTCTCCAGCAGTCATGGTCCTGGATTCGCAAGGCTGAATCGAAGAGACGGTAAGTCTGCTCTCTTACAACCCACTGGCTCATGATGAATATTGCTAAATTTTTATTTTCTTAATAAAATCATTGCAAGTGATATGCTGTGAAAAGAAGTGTAAATGCCTTAAATAGGTCAATGGTGATAACACAAAAGTTTATGACACCTGGAGTCTGTTCAGGAATGGCAAAGAAATACGCCCTATCTGAAAACTCTATATCATAATTTTAACATCCAGAGAATTTAGGTTTTTTTTCAATCTGGTAAGGTTTTTATGTATCTTATAAAGAAAAATTTTGCGATGATTTGCAATCATTATGAATACAGAAATGATGGGAACTTAATTGGCTTCCTATTTCAAGTTAAAGAAGTCTGCAAGAAGTGATTTTGAAGCACACTACATATTTAAAAATAGTAACCCCTCAGTTTGTTTAATCCTTGATGTGGTTGGCATGGTTTTCTCTGCTGTTGAGGATCAAGAGCTTCATAAAGCTTTTCTGCCCCTTGAGGAATACTGAGTTCTAGTTGTTTATTATCTCTTAGGTAGGGTTGGGCTTGATGGCTTGCATATGATTCAAGGAAAGGCAATTAAAGACAATCGACTCGCAGGAGATGTAAGAGACTACCATATCAAACAAGCATGCATTATACAACTACAGTTACATTCTTTAATATATTGAGGTAAAAGACAATGCAAACATTGGAAGGACACACTGAGAAAGGGAAGCCGCTCCAACACATAGAAATGCAGACTCCCAGCAACTCACGTTTTCAAAACCGTGCTTTGCTCTGGTGTTATCTCCTCTTCCAGCATACTGCAAAATGTATTCCTTGCTGCTAGAATTCTTGATGCTTTTGCTCAATGCTTGAGTTTTAGTTTGTGGGACTTTGGCCATACCAGTGTGTGTGTGTGTGTGTGTGTGTGTGTGTGTGTGTGTGTAAGAGAGAGAGAGAGAGAGAGAGAGAGAGAGAGAAAGAGAGACAGACAGAGACAGAGACAGAGAGAGAAAATCTGGTACACATTAAGAATCACTCAGTTCCAATGACTATAGAGATGTTTCTACGACCCTTTAGTTTTGAGCTTTTTGACATGGTTAAAGATTCATCCCGTATTGTTTGAGGTTCACACTTTGATGTTTGTGAGAAAGGAGGCATCAGTGGAGAACACCAAGATCTTTGTACACAACAGGAGACATGGAGGCTCTTGAATCTGACCATGCTTCTCTGGTCCTTTTAAGTACTTGACTTTGGTCATTGTCTCTACCTATTTGCGATTCTGGATCTCTGACTGTGCAGGCACTGGAGCTTTCTTTGCCCTCTCGGAGACATTCTAGACCAGTGGTTCTCAACCTGTGGATCGAGACCCCTTTGGGGGTTGCATATCAGCTATCTTATACGTCCAAAATTTATGTTATATTTCATAACAGTGTCAACATTACAGTTAGGAAGTAGCAACAAAAATAATTTTATTGTTGGGGGACATCACTCATGAGGAACTGGATTAAGAGGCCACAGCACTAGGAAGCTTGAGAACTGCTATTCCAGATCCTGCACCACATCCTTCTTAGCCGGAACACCGTTTCTACAACACTTTGATTTGAAAGCAAGGTCTCTACGTTGTGTTTTTAGAAGTAAAGAGGAGTTTAACATTTACTGCCCTTCCTTTAAATCTTCAAAGCATTCACAGAAAGAGGTCCACCAAAAAGAAACAAAATTTAATTTATCTATGAAGCTTTATTTCATTTTTGAGTCCCAATAAATCACTGAATTATATTTTATTAATTGGATTCAATCATAGTTTTCATTAATTTATATACTCAACAGGAGTCTCCATCGGCGGGACTCATTTTCATTCTTAATTTGTTTCTATGGCTCTTGCTGAAACACAATATCAAACTTCATGAATCTCATTTGCATGTTAATGAAACCAAGAAACAAAACAGGATCATTTTAATTATCTCTTGCTGGTTGTCAACCTACTTGATTACATTTTTCTTTTTTTTTATTTAGATTTGTTTTTTTCCCTATTAATTACATGAAGTGTTCATAAAGGAATGTCAGATTTTGAGTGATTTATTAAAAGCTATATATATATATATATATATATATATATATATAACTTATTTTATTCAAATAGTCCTTTTAGTATTTAGCTCAGTTTGGGAGAGGTATTGAACTAAGCCACCTAGTCGTGTATAAGTAGATGAAACCAACAGTTTCTTTCATAGACAGAGAGAAGTCTTTTCTGGGAACTCAGAACCTGTGAAGAAAGGTCGGGCAGGGAATGAAAAACAACCCATGTGGTATCCAGCTGTAGGGGAGAAATACCATGGATTTTGCTGAGTAATTGAGTAGGATCCTGACAGGAGAGCCTGGGCTGAATAGTCTCCCTGAAAAGAACACACAGCAGTCCTAATGCTGATATCTGTGAGTAAGATTTACTTCATTTGGGTCATACAGCTTTATGAGAAGGGTCCATTGGAAATCAGTAGACTTGTGAATAGAATCCATGAGCGCAAGGATTGTATGCAGCCAAACTAAAGTACTTAAGGTTAGGAATGTAAACACATGCCCTGTGTTAAAGTACGGCAGACTGACTGCTTCACGATCGAGCCTGTAAGGTCAGAATATTTCCTATTGCTAAAAGAGGAATCTGTGTTTGTTCCTGCCCACTGTCAGTTTTCTTACCACAGCTGAGTCCTTGTACTCTAAATAAACAGCATTTTCTCACCCCTGTAGGATTTGTTGTTCAAATCACATATCTGTATATAGAGAAATGATTTACATAGTGAATCTACAGAAGGAACTCCATTCTCTGTATACTCTAAGATGGATTATTCTAACACCCATTGTAGGATCTTTCTAGGTAGGTCATTGTAGGTCATTCTTTCTACCCTAAATCAGTCTTCTTATCTGCGTACTATCTTTACGTAAAGACCCCTAAATTAAATTTTCAAGGTGTTCAGGACACACATCCTTGTCTAAGAAGATAGGTCCTCTGAGATATTAGCAAAACAGTCAAAACAGCTTCTTGTTGTTAAAGATGCTACATAGAATCCTTTATAATCATTATATTCTAAAATAATAATATATTTAATAGCCAATGCCTTAGATGACAGCCGATAAATGAGAAGTGAGTTATGTGCAGAGTTGAATAATTTGACGCCTGAGGGGAGTGGGTTCTCAGCACAGATGTATGAGTCTGGAATGTCCTGAGGTCTGTGGCCAGAGACGAGGCCCAGTGGCTGTGCTTGCGCTCTTAGGGACAGCTTGTAGAGTTTGATGTAGACCAAAAGACACTGTAGTATTTTCTTCTGTAACCACTTCTTCGCCATCACTCCAGAATCTAATGAGCCAAGAAAGGCTTTGACATTTGAAACTGTAAAGAATCTCATACCTTCAGACTCATCCAGGCCCTGCCATGTGATATCTTGATGGCTATGCCTAATTTTCTCACCTGTGTTCTAATTATCTCTAGTATGAACCACTTTCCTCTCCTCACCCTGCCTTCTCTTCTTTTCTGTTTTATCCTCTTCCTCTTGCCCCTTCCCCTTCCATTGTTTTACTTGGAATGCAGACTTGCAGCTCATAATGCCGTGATGCAAGCACTTAAACTCAAATAAATTCCTGAATAGCTGGGCCTCAGGTTACTGTAGAGTCACAGGACACAGGCTCCCAGACATCTGGACTTCAGCTCTCCACCTTTCGTCTCTTTAACTTTATCCTGAGGATAGTACAATTTTAGGTGAAGAGAAACTATTATTAGACACTCTGAGATCGATTCACTCTCCTTGGGCTTAAATCACTGCTACCTCTTATTCACTTAAGGATGGGAAAGATGTTTAGCCTTTGTCCTTTAATTTCCTATTGGGGGAATAGGGTTAACAGTGTCATAGTATTAGTGAGATGGCGTTGGCCTTGTTGAAAATGATGGCAGTGCAGAAGTTTGGCCAAATGGATTTCAGAAATATAATATTGGCTGGTGCAATGTTAACCAGCTTCAAAGTAAAGTTTATCAGTTAACCACATTTTAACAAACTCAACAAGACCAAATATATGCATAACTGTACACAAAGTAATCTCAGGGAATACAGATATCTACCCAAGTCTTCTAGGAGGGACCAACTTGCTCCCAATACATTATAAAGCAGTGTCAGAGAATCTGGTTTTAATTTGTATGTTCTTTATGAGACTTTAATAGAGACAGACTGATCTTTTCTTATGTATCTTTGGTCAGAGTTGGCCAGCTTGGGTGACATGATGGCTTAATTTAAAACAGGTTTTCCTTTAAAAAAAAAAAGAAACAATTGAAGTTGGGTTATGAATTAAAAACAAAGCCTTACTAAGAGATTCACGCTTTGATAATGGTTTGGAGAATGAAATTTGAAATCCATTTTATGGTCTGTGGTGTCACTTATGCTTGTAGATTGCATTTCATACACTGGCCTTGAGAAGGTGAAATAGAAAAGAGTGAAGATTTACGTCTTTTATAACTAGATATGCTCATATCCTTTATTCATTAAAGCAAAGGGAAAACTTGCTGCCAGCACTCTTCTCTTCTTGTACCTGTTCATTTGAACACTGAGATGACTGTCTTGTGACCAGTTGCTTTCCTGCACATTCTATGTTGCTGTCTCTACTGCTCTTCTTTGGTACGAACGTGCTCCCTGCTCTTCCCAGCTCTCCCCATCTTGGTTCCCCTTTATTCTTTTCCTCCAATGTCCTTGTCTGCCCTGAAGCACACATTCTCCAGCTCTAAATCAACCCAGTAATTCCATCTGAGCAGATGTGTCAAGTCGCCAATTGTAAGTAATTTATGGTGATACGAAGCTCTGGCTTGGGAATCCAGAACACTACACTATGGTAGTAAATCCTGCATGGCCTTGGGGAATGACATCAGCTCTCTCTTCCCCTCGTCTCTATAAATGTATAAGGTTGGATCTGAGAGTCTCCATATTCTAAAACCATGTGCACTTTTCGTGCTCGGGGTACGCGTATGCACTTGTTCATGTATATG